GGCGTTTCCAATTGGCGTCAGTTGGCACAGAAGAGAAACGACTGGCGTGCTTTGCTGAACTCGGCCAAAATCGCTAAGGCGGTTACAGCGCCAAATAATAAGAAGAAGAAGACTATGTTTCCTTTGACGTATGTACGTCAAAGGCCAAGTAGAAGTTGGAACTTCTATGACTGCCCATTGATAACGCGGTTATATAGCTTAAGAAATAATATGTTTAACGACATTTTGTCAAAGTTGATAAATATGACATTTGACCAGTTTTGTTACACAAATACTCTCACGACCACAGGCAAAAATGTTGGCTATAATTTGTCATTTTGTTTGCCATATATACGTTTTATCGGTGCACTTGCACAATATTCGCATTCGCAAACGCTCCGCATTGATTATTGCGAATGCGAATGTTAAAATTAATGCGGAAGTTCCGCAGTTGCGAATGCGAATGCGAATATTCGCAACAACCCTGCTCATAAGTCTAAATTGGTAAGATCTTGGCTGACTTATTCAAGTTTTTCTTAAACCAGTCTTTGAAAAAAGTTATTAAAAAAGACTGTATTGAAAGCCTGACAATTTAGGTCCGTGCCCATCTCTAATCTCAACAAAAATGGCACATAGTTGTCGACTCGCGAAAATATTAATTCTCTAATCGAATTCTAACGTTGATCTCTAATGGGATTCGAATGTGAATTTCCAACTGCTGTTTTGCTTTATTAAATAAACGCTTTGTTTGTAAAATGTGTATGAAATATATTTGCAATAAAATAATAATGAATTATTTCAACTTAAAAATAATTTATGATTCATTCATTTTGAATATTGCATATTTACTTTTATTTGAATATGCGTTGTTTCTCTAATCGTCCTCGAATCGAATTCTAATGTAGTTCGCCAACTTCGTCATCGACTCGAGAACGATTAGAAAATTACCATAGTTATCTAATGTAGAAATCCAAATTTCTCTTACGTTAGAGACTGTGTTTGCTGGGTAGCTGGAGGATTACCTCGGATTAAGTTTTCGATTATTCTTATTATTCTTATATCTTCTGTATTCGTTTTACCATGCATATCTAAGTATACACGCAAACATTTTCAATTAGTAATGGTATAGAAAAACAATGTACTCTGGAAAAAAGCTAATATTTTGTCCAACCAAAAACGTTTTTGTGTAAAAGGGAAAATATACGACACCAGCTTGCTGGCTCCATCAAATGATTGTACCATCAGGCTCGAAGCTTATAACTTACCTGCATGCTCGTACAATATTTATTTCTTTACAAATAAGGTCCAGAAATGATCGAAATGATTAGAGCCGAAATCTCGTAATTTTTCTATCATTTTGTTAAACATTGTTTTTTTTATTCACAACTGCAATATTGTGAAATTTGATCTTCCACAAACACTGCTTTGACTCATATAGTGCAAGAAATTTCCCCCAAAATACTTTTTACTTAGAAATATTTGCCAATTTCACCATTCACGACACCAGCACGCTGGTACAATCATACAATTTTCAAATAGTTTTTGAAGTCGCACCAGCAGTTGGTACAATGACATACACGGTCAATCGACTTGGTGGGCCATTAAGCATATTAAGGGCCGTAAACTTATACATATATTTTAAACTATAGTTAAATCGTTAATAGATAAGTTAACGGCCCTAACACTTTTATAGTATGTATGTATAAAAACGTAAGCAACATACATACGATACATATATGTATATATACATATGTACGTATATCAGTATTTCCTAGTTTAAAAATTCTTCTCTTACTTAAAAATAAAATAGATCAAATTAAGCATATACAACTTTTTCATGCCAAGGATGAATAAATTCTCCAAAGGGCTAGGGGCAATTTTAAATTTATGTGGCTAAAAAAAGTATGTGGTAGCTAAATCTAGCCACCAAAGGGCTAAAACGGCAACACTGCTTATTGAATCGTTTGAATGCGCTAGTATGCCGACCATTGCATAAAACCGACTCAATGAATAAGACTGTGTGCGTGGAACAGACATCTGCAGCGGGTGCATGATTTTCGTGTATACTCGATCATCTAACAAAACCCGTTTTGCATCGTTCTCTGTATACGAGCAGAACTATTGTTCGTTATCGACTGAGCTCAAGACGAACATGTTGGCCACAACACCCGATTGCTTTTCATACATACTTGATTGGGTTCGGGTGCTTTGCAGCTCAATATACCCGGGTGTTCGAGTTTCAACCCGAGTGTGCACAAAATTTTCTTGATTGGCTTATGACGTTTTTGTTTCTACAAAAAATGTTGCCTTCTCATCGCGGTGTTCTTAGTTTTTGTGCGTAGAGGGTAAAGAGAAGGTTGAATTTTTCGGTAGTTTGTTTAAGTGTACATTTAACCATTTCTTATATTTTTGCTCATACAAAATGCGGAATCACGACGCCTACATCCATTTAGGTATAAATGTGTGTAGATCGGCAATGCCCAAGCCCTATACACTCGGTGCACATTTATTTTTTGTAAAAGTACTTATGTACCTACATAGTTTTAGGCTGTGTTCTAATATATACACACACAGCTTTCCACGCGAAACTATACGAAATAGATGCAAAAACATTTTTGTCTACTTCGCTTCTAATTTTTTCATTGCGTATGCACAAGCACAAAGCAACAACATTTTCGTATGCTTTGTGGGAACATATTGGCGCCAGTTACCTTCAGCGTAAATTTCTTTGTTGTCCTGCATTTTATCGCAATGTTCGGGTGTCCGTTTCATTGTTACACAAATTTTCGGGTTAGCTGCGGGTGTCCGAGTGTGGTGTTCGCTTGTGCTCAATTGATAGCGAGGGTGATCGAACAGACTCGTTCGTAACCAAAGCAGCTGTCGGGTATGCATCTCGATCGAACACATAGTAGCCGAGTGTGGCGTTCGCTTGTGCTTGATTTTTAGTGAGTGTGATCAAAAAGGCTCGATCATACTCAAAGCTGTTCTCTGGCGTGGAAATCATTGCTCCGCTACCGCTGTTCGTATATGGGTGAAACACGCGTGTGGTCACAGAGCGCTCAGTAAGCTATGGCATGTCGATCACTGGCTAGGTAGAGAAAGAGAAGTGTGTGCTATGACATCATGATTCAGTAATAGAAAGGTTTTGTAATAAAACAGTCTTCTCGCTTCCACACATAGAATCGGCTCCTTTGCTTGTGCAGAATGTTGCTTACTCTACAGTTTCTAGTGATATTAGTAGTAAAACCAAAAATTCTTCATACTAAATATTCGTGAGCATCACCTTCGTTTGCGTAATTTTCTAGAACAAGTGTAGTATAGCGACCGTTTAGCTATAAAATAACCAAAATTCCGATTGATAGAACTTTTTACGCTGATTTCAACGATACCAAATTTATTTGGCGCAGGTAAAAAATAAAGAAGATGTAAGAGGTTTATTTGCTTTATTTATTTGTATTTTTTATTATCACTAAATTGTTGAAACCCAAAAGTATATTAAAACAAAATATGTAATACCGAATTAAAGGTAATAACTTGTACGTTCTAAATAATATAAATTTCATTACCATTAATTATGCAGTTTTTTCAAAAAAGGTTATTTCATGAAAAAATAACATTTGTTCGTTTTTTAGTGGTTTTGGTTTAAAAATACAAAAAGCTATAAATTATTTACATCAGCTGAAAGACAAATTAATTATCTTCATGGTGACGTCATTAGTTTTTTAATCGGTTATATAGTTCATAAGATATTAATATTTAAAAAATCTAAAACCTGAAATTTAACCTTCTAGAACGTTTTCATTTTTCACTTGCGCCAAATAATTTTCGCATGGTTGAAATGAGCATAGAAAGTTCTATTGATCTACATTTTTCGTTTTTGCATAGCTGAACGGTCGGTATTCTAGATTTCTTGCAGGAAATGACGAATAACTGAAATCAAAAATGCATATTTTTATGTATTGTTTAGTATTTGCATTAAAACACCAAATATATTGCAAATTCGCATAGAATTAATAATACACTTTTTGCTTCTAATTGTATACTTTGCGTACCTTTTGTAGTACCTTTCTACCACCGTTTTCGCAAAAGGCGATCACAAATTTTGTCCTTTCTACCTACTTCCAAAATACAAATCTGGATAAAGGAGTGTCAGATATGAGCTGTCACAATTTACATAACCTTGTATTATTGAATCATGCTATGACATGAGACTTGTTTGTCTCAGTTTCAGTTTTGCCATCGCCGCGAGTTGTTTCGGTGTGCGCAGAGTTATTTAAAAATATAAAGTTTGATGCCAACCGGGGTTTCTCAGTGGATATATAATTCATGTGAGTTATAATTTGAAAGAATCTATTTAGCAAAGGAAAAAGCAAAGCAGTATACTTAAACCAGCAGATATTGACCTGGGTTTTCGCACGACTGTTCCTGTTTCATCGTTTCTTTTTAGGAAATTGTGACCATCATATACATATGTATTATTTACACTAGTAACTATTTATGTAAATATATATGTTTTTTTTAATGCTTAATATATGCAAATAAAAGACGAAAGTAAACACAACAACCATCGAGTAAATTTTTATTTGTGTCAAACTGAAACTTTTTTCCAATAATAAACGGTTAGCTGATTCACGTCTACAGCAAGTTCACCTAATTAATTGAAAACTTGTATCAACCAAAGCATTGTTTATATTTGTGCAACAATGATTTTATTCAACTAACAATATTGTCCACTCAAGGTAGTCGTTTTGTAATTATTAACAAATCTACATTTGTCCCAACTAGAAGTCTCAAGTAAATAGCAGACTTTTGTGAGCTATGTAGATATTTATTTCGCCATATACAACTATACCACTTGGTCACTATAACCAAATCTTGGTAATTATAACTAAACCTTTTTCTGAGTACAAAGAATGGCTTTAATAAGGATTAGAGACATGGGCCAACTTTTAGTAGTTAGTTCTGTCGTTATATCAGAGGACCATCGATGTGTACATAAATATTTGCTTTTTACAACCTAGGCAATATGAAGCAAATTATGCCGAGGAAATTAAAATCAACGAAGCAGCGCAATATAACCAAAAGCCGGCAGGAATGGAAATTTTTAACAAAATTCTGTTTGTTAAAAAACGTGGCTGCCAGCCGAATCGGATCAGAATATTGTTATTTTTTTTAAAAGCACCCTGTTTTTTATAAGCATTCGTATCTCAGATAGTTACGTAATTCTTATCTTATTAAAGGTCAGACCTATAGCTTTTTAATTATTTGAGCATCCCCAACCAACATTTAGGTTTGAGCTCAACTTGAGGTTAAGTTGAGAACTAAGGTAATTCTCAAATCTCCAACGTTGTTTCTCAACAGTACCTCAAGTGGAGGATCATAGCGTTCTCAACAAAAAGGGCATTTTTTTTTTGTATAAAAACTGATTTTAAATTATTTTCTTAATAAATCTTTACAATCTTTGTGTTTTGCTGCAGCTACTTCAAAAGATATTTATTTTTTAGACACATATGACTTAAATATGATGCAAACCAAGCCTACGTGCATTTTTTGGATTCTTGGACTAAGGATCCCGTGTTCAAAGGCTGGTTGTGTAAACACTTGAGGTTACGAGGCTTGTTGTAATGTTTGCAATTGCACATTAAAAGCCAAATCAGGAAGAGCCGAGCCTTTTTAAGACTTTATTGAAAATGTAATGAACGCAAAAAGGGCTAAAGTATTGCTATGCTCCCTCTTAGCAGAGCGTAGTTTACCATTTGCGACAACCGAGCCCCTGACCAAATGTCTACAAGAAAAAAAAAATTATTAAAAATCAACGCGATTATTTAGCCCCTTTAAACTTGCACATTATTGCCCTGAAATTTAATGGGCTATCAAACTGCATACTCAAAAAATTCTAAAAAATCTGAATAAAATGTTGAAAATCTAGCTGAAAATTTGCAGATTTTTTATAATTTTTGCACAAAGTTTGAAATGTGGATTTATATTTTGTTTGTCATATAATGAGCTTGGCTTTTATGAAAAAATAATACACATTAAATAAACAAAAGAGAAACAGCCAAAATCGATCAATATGTTGATGACTTAATCAGCTGATCACAAGTGTATGTATAAAATGATTTTTATATTAACGATCTCAAACCAGTTTACAATGAATTTTAAATGTGTTCTGTCGATATGACATTTTAATATACCTTACGTACATATGTACCTTTGTATGCAATAAAAGTTTAATAAGAACAATTTATTTAAAAAAAGACGTTATTGGGTAGGAAATGACGTTTTTTCAGACCAAGAGGGACGTTTTCTCATGCCGAAGACCTGGCAACACTGAATGTAATTCTCCAATTGGTCTCAAACATATCATTGAAATACTGAAATTGAAATAGTAAAATACCTTATACCTTTTTGATTGAAACGACATACATAGATGAATTTAAATATTAATTTTTCATTTTATTACTCCTTTTGTATTATGTAGTTAATCAATATCGTATTACAATAATTCACTTCACAGTATGTATACAGTCCACAGTAATTTTGCCACTTGATTCACTTCGCCTTTTAATTTATTTCCAGCTTATTTGAGGATACTTTGAAAACTATTTACTTTTTGTTGGTAATTTTCCTTTTTATATAGCTTTCGTTTTTCACTTGATAATTAAAAATTTGTTTCTTTACCACTTTTTACATATCTGCGCGTCGGTTAGAGATGAGTTGGAGAATGATGTTGGATATCAACTTGAGAACTATTAATTTCTCCAAGGTTGGAGAAATAATTTTTTGGTGTTTATTGGTTCGATTCTCTTAATAGCCAGACGTTGATAATTTCTGCTGGAAATCCCTATTGAAGGAGCTTACTCTTTAACTTTAAATAGCAAAGAAGAGACAGTTTTACGACAGAAGTTTTTAGCCAAGGATTCAATGTAATGTATGTATATCCCTATGAACAGTGCACACTTCTTCTTTTGTGTCTAGTAGTTTTTTTAATATTGATCCAAAAAAATCATAATAAAAAGAGAAACCAATGCAGGTATTCAAAGCACAGAAAAAAAATTCGTTAAAAAGACTATGTTCCCATTCAGTAGTAAAGTCTTCTCTCGACGTACGAAAACCACGCTCTATAAGTCACTCATCATGCCCGTGCTGGTATATGGCGCAGAAGCCTGGATAATGACAACATCCGATGAGGCGGCTCTTGGAGTGTTCGAGAGAAGGATTTTGCGGAAGATTTACGGGCCTTTACGCGTTGGCGACGGCGAGTACCGCAGACGATCGAACGATGAGGTGTATGAGCTTTACAACGACATAGACATAATGCAGCGAATTAAAATACAGCGGCTCCGCTGGCTTGGCCATGTTGTTCGAATGGACACCGACGCTCCAGCTCTGAAAGTATTCAACTCGGAACCCGCTGGTGGTAGCGGAGGAAGAGGGAGGCCCCCACTGCGGTGGAAAGATCAGGTGTAGAAGGACTTGGCGTTTCCAATTGGCGTAAGTTGGCACAGAAGAGAAACGACTGGCGTGCTTTGCTGAACTCGGCCAAAATCGCTAAGGCGGTTACAGCGCCAAATAATAAGAAGAAGAAGACTATGTTCCCTTTGACGTATGTACGTCAAAGGCCAAGTAGAAGTTGGAACTTCTATGACTGCCCATTGATAACGCGGTTATATAGCTTAAGAAATAATATGTTTAACGACATTTTTGTCAAAGTTGATAAATCCGACATTTGACCAGTTTTGTTACACAAATACTCCCACGACCACAGGCAAAAATGTTGGCTATAATTTGTCATTTTGTTTGCCATATATACGTTTTATCGGTGCACTTGCAAAATATTCGCATTCGCAAACGCTCCGCATTGATTATTGCGAATGCGAATGTTAAAATTAATGCGGAAGTTCCGCAGTTGCGAATGGGAATGCGAATATTCGACACAACCCTGCTCATAAGTCTAAATTGGTAAGATCTTGGCTGACTTATTCAAGTTTTTCTTAAACCAGTCTTTGAAAAAAGTTCAAAAACAGCATAAAAAATCTCATTATTATGTTTCCGTAGAAAATTTTTAAACATATTTTTGTGCAAATTGTTTAAGCATAAACTGTTTAGTCATCTGAGAGAATTTTTTCCAAAAAATATTAAAAAAGACTGTATTGAAAGCCTGACAATTTAGGCCCGTGCCCATCTCTAATCTCAACAAAAATGGCACATAGTTGTCGACTCGCGAAAATATTAATTCTCTAATCGAATTCTAACGTTGATCTCTAATGGGATTGGAATGTGAATTTCCAACTGCTGTTTTGCTTTATTAAATAAACGCTTTGTTTGTAAAATGTGTATGAAATGTATTTGCAATAAAATAATAATGAATTATTTCAACTTAAAAATAATTTATGATTCATTCATTTTGAATATTGCATATTTACTTTTATTTGAATATGCGTTGTTTCTCTAATCGTCCTCGAATCGAATTCTAATGTAGTTCGCCAAATTCGTCATCGACTCGAGAACGATTAGAAAATTACCATAGTAGAAATTACCATGTAGAAATCCAAATTTCTCTAGCGTTAGAGACTGTGTTTGCTGGGTAGCTGGAGGATTACCTCGGATTAAGTTTTCGATTATTCGCACAAAAGGAAGTGACCCGCCATCTTCCTCCTTTTCTCTTTATTTCGTTTACAGGGTTGCATTACATTATTCACTTAGACTAGTAGGAGCAGGGTTGCATTACCGACTCCGAAAACTAACTAAATTTATTTTATTCAATATTAGATACGTTTTGAGAATTTTAAATAAAATTTAACATTTTCTGAAATAATAAGTGACATCTTTGACACAAATAATTTTAAGACACATAAGGAGCATGTAAATATTTGAAAGTGATTTTCAAGGCGCATTCATATTAGGTTTGTTCCAAACGAATACCCGCGGGTGCTCAAAACAGCCCAGAAAGGGTTCCTCAAGCAAAAAAAAGGGCAATAGAGAGCAAATACCTTCCACTTTTGGATCGTAAATGTCTTCTTCTTCGTGCCCGAAACAGCCCCGTCTTTTTTCCGGGCAGAAATGTTCAAGAAGTTATTTTGAAATAACTGCTGCTGTTTGTTTACATCCGATAGCAAACCTATGGTATTTTGTATTTCGCTTGTGAGTGAGTGAAAACGTGAGCTTGTTTGAATTTTCTGTCGCCCTTTCTCCTTCGGGGAAGAATAGCTGAAATGTGACAATAGCCCGCTAAAAGCAAAAATAAAATACAAGTAGGTTTTGTTTATGTTAAATCGATACCACTTTTTATTTATTGGCCTCAAAACTTAAAAAAACTCTTACTACTAAACAGTAAACATGTGTCTAATCCTTACTAAATTTTTGACTGCTTTATAAAGCTTTAATAAGGATTAGAGACATGGGCTAACTTTTAGTAGTTAGTTCTGCCGTTATATCAGAGGACCATCGATGTGTACATAAATATTTGCTTTTTACAACATAGGCAATATGAAGCAAATTATGCAGAGGAAATTAAAATCAACGAAGCAGCGCAATATAACCAAAAGCCGGCAGGATTCAGACAAGAAATATCCCTTCGAGTAAGCGACAGTTCGGAAGCAGACTCAGATTTCGAAGAGGTTGAGGATAACGTCCTAGCGGCTTCAGAACTCGGGTCTAAAAACAGCTTACAAGTTATTATAGAGCTAAATGACCAATTATTGTCAGAAGATGACTTATTTTCCGATGTTTTTGGATCCTCACCGAAGAGAACTGCTCATATTGATAAGGAAGAACGCCTCTGTGAACTCTCTATATCTTCACCAGAAAATTGTGAAAGCATTGTTGTACACAATATAATGGCGGCAAGCGGGAAGTGTAGTGAAATAAAAAACGATGAAGAAATGCAATATGATAAAACAAATGCTTTGCCTTATGTTTTAAATATGAATGATGATAATAAAAAAATGTCATCTATATTAGATGAGTTAAAAAAGCAAGCAGATAATGTCAAAAATTTAAATTTAGATGACGTAAATATTTGCGAGTCAGATGAAAAATTCAGGTCGAAAAATGAGATTATTGAAATCTATGATAGCGATGATCAGAAACTTAGCTCAGAAGTAACACCAAGTAAATCAACAAAATTTAGAACGCCTTCGAAAGACAAAAGCATTAAAGAATATTTCGAAACCAAATATGTGGTGAAACGAACTCCAGAAAGTGATAAAACTGAACAGGAGGAGAAGCAAGCATCTAACGTTAACTCCCCCTTTTTTGTTAAGAAGTCTCCGTCATCTCATCGAAAACGATCCGTTCGTAAGATTAGCGCATCACCTATTCATGGGCACAAGCTATCAAGGGTGTCCAAAACGCTGTTCGAGAGTGCCACCACAACGTCTGAAAAAAAACTGGAGATAAAGGAAGATGGTCCTGATTTGAAATCTGAGGTAAGTACATATGTAAGTACATTAGACTCGTTCAAAAATTCTACTACTATATGTACATACACTGGCCGAAAAAAATTGAGCCGCACCACATTTTGACAAGTTTTAACGTATTATTTTCTTGTTATTTAATTTTTTTTGATGAAAATATAGTTCAATATGGTTATGGCGCTTTGTACCACGATTATGTTTATTAGGAAAAGTGAAAAAAAGCAACAAAGTTAAGCGGTAGAAGTTTCAGCAGCTATTTCGGAGATCACCACATCTCCTCATCAGACCACTTTTTCTAGGCTTCAGCGAATTTAAATAGCGGCAAGCTGCACTTGATAGTAGTAGGTTGAATAAGGAAATAAATTAGCAACAAGAGTTTACGGGGTGTGCATAGCTCAGTGGTTAACGCTTCTGGCTTTGCACATCGATGATGTGGGTTTGATTCCCGCTGAAGTCTAGAAAAAGAAGTCTGATAAGGAGATGTGGAGATCTCCGAAATAGCTGCTATAATTTGTACCGCTTAGACTTTGTTGCTTTTCCATTTTTCCTAATAAACATAAGCGTGGTATAAAGCTCAATAACAATATTAAAAATAAAATATTAATAAGCCACAATAACATTGACAAATACATAGTTTAGGAAGTGCCTGCCTGAAACTAAACAATAAAGCAAATTAATGTATAGAATTGACACCAACAACCACGTTGTCAAGTTTAAATAGCGGCAAATCAGCTGCACTTAATAGTAGTAGGTTGAATAAGGAAATGAATTAGCAACAAGAGTCTACGGAGTGTGCATAGCTCAGTGGTTAACGCTTCTGACTTTGCACATCAATGACGCGGGTTCGATCCCTGCTGAAGTCTAGAAAAAAAAGAAGTCTGATGAGGGGATGCGGTGATCTCCGAAATAGCTGCTATAACTTCTACCGCTTAGACTTTGTTGCTTTTTCCAATTTTCCTAATAAACATAATCGGGGTACAAAGCTCAATAACAATATTAAGAAGTAAGAAAGTCGTAAGTTCGGCCGTAGCCACACATTAAATACCCGGCGCAAGTTTTAAATATATGTTTTTCACCTTTCCGAAAACTACCGCTACATGGTAAGCCGGGTGATTTTATCCCTATTTTAAACATCTTCGATAGCACGTTGTGTTAGACATAATGAGATAAACTTATTCCTAATAATGTTACTTCTTTTCAAGGGATTGTTTTAAGTATCAATTTTGAGTAAATTAGCGTCCTTAAATTTTGAAATATTCAAGCATTACTGAAATTTACTGTTATATGAAAGGAGGATTTTAGTCCAAGTTCAATAATTTTCAACCTTAGAGATACATATATGTGATCATAAGTGGGCGGTGCCACGCCCATTTTCCAAAATTTGATCATAAGTGTTTTTTTTTTGGTAAAGAATTGTGGCAAGCGTTAATTTTGAATAAATTAGCTTTAGTATTTACTGATTTATCGAAGATTTCGTATTTCTCTAAATTACCGCTATATGGGATGTGGGCGTGGTTATTGTCCGATTTTAAACATTTTCAGCCATTTGGTATGTTGTACCAAGGCTAACAACTGTGCCAAGTTTGAGAGAAATTGGTCGGAGCGGTTACCAAGATATGCACATTTAACAATAAGTGGGCGTGGCTAGGCCCATTTTCCAAAAATTTATAATAATCTTATTTTTCTTCTAAAAATTATTGCAAATATCAATTTTGAGTGAATAAGCTTCAGTAATTATTAACATATCGCAGTTTTCGTATTTCAGAAAACTACCGTTATATGGCAGATAGACGTGGTTATCGTCCGGTTTTGGCCATTTCTAATACCATCCGTCCTTCGCCCGAAAGAAGTACACGTACCAAGTTTCGTTAAGATATCTAAATTTTTATTCTAGTTAGTGCATAGACGGACGGGCGGACAGACAGTCACCGCTTAATCGATTTCTCTTTTCATTCTGCTCAGTTATGTATACATTTGTCTATATCTATCTTGATTCGTTTTGCCGGTTACAAAGAACTGTTATGTGAACAAAGTTATAATACCCTTGTGAACAAGTGCGCTCGGGTATAAAAATAAATATGTTAATAAACCACAATAACATTGACGAAAATGTATTTCATTCTTTAACAATTCAAACCATAACCATATACAGTGAAATCCAGTTATAATGGACTCCACGGGACCGCGTCAAATTGTCCATTATAACCGAGTGTCCATTTTATCAGAATATAATATTTGTAAATAATAAAGAAATAATGTACATGTATAAATACAAAATTTTATACTTTTCATGGAAGGTAAATGCCCGTTTTCCGTTCCGACATTTTTCTTAAAGTGAACTAATTGCCAGTTATTACTACGTTTATACGCACGTATTATTTGCAAATAACAATTTGCAAAATGGTAAACTTTGCCGTATAAATGCTGAGTTAATTTTTTATTTGCAAATAACTAAATCACGCAAATAAGTATTGAATAGTTGTACTATTTGCAAATAAGCGCAAGACGCCGCCATTATTAGGTTTATTTTCTTTTTCGATGGTCATCTTATTGCCTTTTTATAATGAAGACGTTGCTATTTTTAACTTTATTTTCTTTTTCGGTGGTCATATTATTGCCTTTTTATGATCAGGCAATATTAAAAAAGAATTTGTCACCATCGAATAAACAGTGAGTTAGGTATTTGCAATTAATTTTATTTGCAAATAGTTTACGTATAAACGTAGTATATGACAGATTTCGGTGAACCAATGAACTTTGTTTAAGTATGTAAACATTTTATGTTGCAGAGACGGTTGCTTCTCTTTACTGAATTCGGGGAATTACCGAACTTTGTTTATTGCAGAGATTTTTTTTATTTGGCCTATTTCTGTCCATTATCGGCGGAGTCCGTTATAACCGAGTCTATTTTAACCGAGTTTTTTTTATATGTTTAAACCGGGACTTGACAAATAGGTACATAATGCTGACTAAACACGAGGCAACCGTTGAAGCTCGGTAGTGTGTGATATGTTATTAAATAAACATACTTATGAAAATTGTGCTTTCTACAAAAACACCTTTTCAGCTCACTTGCTTTCAATGAAGTAAGCCAATAAAATCAATACACACGAGACAACCGACTAACAAAAAAAAAACAATAATCCGGGTATGCATATAAACTTGTAAATTCCTCGTATCCGCATATACCTCGTAAATAAACCAGCTTTCCATACAAAATTAAATAAAACAACAAAGGATAATTTTTTCTCCTACGTGTTTCGATGCATTTTGGCGTCTTCTTCAGGGAATCTGTTTATTAAAAAACGAAAAACATTATTAGTAACATTTGTTTTTTGTTATTTTATGGCCATATAACAATTATATTCAACGATTTTTAATGAGCTTGAGGCCGTTTTTAATGAAAAACTTATCCCACGAGACGAAAAAAAATAAAAGTCCCACATAATTATTATGACAAGACGTAAATCATTTCCGTCTTGAAATAAACGTCCCGAGAGACGAAAAAAAAATGAAATCCCATATAATTATTATGAGAAGACGTAAATCATTTGCGTCTTGAAATAAACGCCCCGAGAGACGAAAAAATATAAAAGTCCCATATAATTATTATGAGATGACGACAATAATTTACATTTTAAAATAATCGTCCCGCGAGAGGAAAACAACTTTTCCATTGTTCAGTAATAATTATAGAGCAATATTTAATTTTATTTCTTATAATTGTTATTGTCTCTGCACATTACACATTTTCTAGCCGTTCTTTCTCAATGATACAGTTCCGCGAATATTTGTGCAGTAATATATTGTGTAAAAGCTTATAGTTTAGTACAATTTTCACGAAGTTTAGTACAAAATTACAAAAAATTTTATTTCCAACACAAACAGTAAGCAAATGACGATTTCAAAACAGCAAGCGTCTTACAAGGTTGGCCGATTCGATTCATGAAGCTTTTATGATTAGGCGAAAACATGATTATGTATTGTAATGTACAGAGCATCATTCAAATACATGTGTTCGGCTTAAAAGCTTCATACTTTAGTATGACGAAACGATTACACTACTATGCATAGGAGCCTTATGTGCGGAGTGCCTTACGGGGCGATTCGGGAAGCAAAACGATATGTAACCATGCATATTACATCGATTTTCATAACATTTAAAAAAAATGACGCGTTTTTTCATAGCGGCGTTCATTGTTGTTCATATTTTGTCTTTGAGGTTTCTCCTCTATTTACCAAAAATAATCGATAAATCCGGATTGCAAACGGAAAAGTTATTTTTTTAATATAGAGCTATATCATAACTAGGATTTCAGAGGAGAAATTTTGCAGCAGCAAAAAAAACCTAATATAACAATATTGTGAAAATTATTAAGGGCAGCAGTCTCCCGATCGGATATCCGAATCCGGCTCTTATATTTCTTCTCGTCACATCCCTAATACAAACATAGTTAGATTTTAACATATCGACTCCTTTGCCCAAAATTATCGTATGTTACAAAAACCAAATTTTAAAGGAAAATGTTTTTTGTATTTTTCTCTGCTTTGGCTAGCAACATCAATACTAAAAATTAGATTGCTGAGATAATTCATAAATAAAACTAAACTTGTAGAAAGGCTCTCAAATTCTAATTTCTTAGCACATACGTCAATTTCGCCCACAAGAAAAAATTCATTGTCACATACGATAAAATTTACAGTAAATTTTTTGGTAGCTATTGGATTTAAGCCGTCATAATTGAACAGGTGATGCGTTATGGGGTGCATCAAAAAGTAAATCAGCTAAATAATTCTAAATTTTTAGATGATTAGCATAACTGTTTGTTTTTTTGTTATTTTTTGGCCTTAAAACAATTATATTCAACAATTTTTATTGAGCTTGAGGCCGTTTTTTAATAAAAATTTATTGTGGAAAAGCAACAATAATTTGAAAAAATGGTAGAAGTGATAGCTATTTCGGAAATCACCACATTTCCTCATCAGACTTCTTTCGGTAGGATTCGAACCGA